TTGATGTTAGTTACATTTTAATAATCTTTTTTCTTTATTTAAATCAATTCTATTTTGTTAAAATAATATTCAAGCAAATAAAATTCTATTGTAAAATCTATTTAAATAATAAATACAATTGAAATTATCTTTTTTTTTTTATATTTTTCATTTCATCCTTTTATACAAATGACATTTTAAGTATGAGAAAAAAAAATGATTATTTTTTTTTTCGACTGAATAATATCATTCTTTAAAAAAACTAGGAGCATATTAGTTCAACTAAAATTGAACTGGTTTATCTCGAAATCAAACTATAATCATATTTTCGATATTATTCTTGATAAAAAACAAGATTTTTTAATCTATGTTATTGTATTTGAAGTCTCTTCTATTTATTGAAAATTTTTCATTGATATTTGTGTCTGTAACTGAAAGTCAAATAAATATTGTTTTCTTTTTTCTATAGAATATTTTCATGAGAGTATAATTATAAAATGAATTCTCTTTTGATTGAATCTTGTAGACAAATATAATTTAACAGTTATTTAAAGTATTGAAGATGATTTTTATATATAATAAATATATTAATATTATTTAATAGAAATAAAATATTAATTTAATTTAGACATAAATGAATTTGTTTAATTGTGAACGATAATAATCTTATTTTGAATAAACAAATCAAAGATTACAAAGAAAAATATCAGTTGATATAAAAAGAAAAATTCTCGAAATTTGACGTGTTCAAATTTTTATTCAATTTTATTTAAATAATAATAATAATACTAAAGAATATTTTTTATAGATACAAATAAATATGATGTGTGATATATCATCTTATTGTTTAAATTCAAAGAATATTATCTGATTTGGATATTGTATCGAATCTTTCTATAAATATAAATAGAACAACATCAAATGATCTTATTCATGCAATTACATTTGAACAAACTTCGAATTTTATTCAAGAAAAACAAAGAGAAATAAATTCAATTATACATCAACAAGAAAAACGTATTGAATAATTAAGAAATTTTTATTCAAATATTAGAAGAATATTTGCGAAATAAAACTTTTCAATCTTCTTTCGGGTCATCATATTCTATTAACTTTTCAATATCAATTGGTCAACCAACAATTATTTTATCGAATTCAATACATTCTCAAACATCAACTATTATTCAAAAATCTTGACTATCTAGTTTTCTTTTGTTCAACTCTCTATAAACAAATATTCGTTAATCTTATTAGTAATTTTAAAAATATCATTTCTTTAACGATCTTGATATATCCAACATTTTTCGACTTAATTTAAACAAAATTTTCATAAGAAATTTCATTTGTTTATTGAAATATTAACATAAAATCTATCATTAATAATAATATGATAAGACTGATCAATTTAAGTCTTTATCGAATGAAGAAGATCACGTGATCAAAAACTAATTATCATTTTTAGGTCAAAATTGTGCGCCTCAAGAATAAAATTCAAGTTTAATTGATCTGTTGCTCATTTTAACAATCGAATATTAAATAGAATAATGTAGACATTCTTATTTTTATTATTAATAATTGAATTTTTCAATCTATTTATATTTATACTTAATTATAATATTAACTAATATATATATATATATAGATAACTAATTGATATTGATATGTTAGTCTGTAAAATATTTGAAAAAAACCAACATATGAATCTTTATGTAAGAAATGCTCGGATTGACTTAAAATTGATTTCATTCTGAAATAAATCCATTACATTCGTTTATAGAATTCTTCGTTCGAAAATCTACTCTTCAAAATGGCTTTTCCACGGAAGCATACGGATTTGGTAGCCGGAATTCTTAGTTGACCAATTGAAATAATACTTATGCTCAAATAAAATCTCGAATAGATAACTGAAAATAGCCAGTTAACAATCAATTATTGTTACTATATTCGAAAAAGGAGAACAAATAAACAAAAGTCATTAGGATTTATCTGATATCAATAAATATTCACTGGAGAAAATCAATTACATTATATATATATATATTATTGAACAAATAAATATATATCTAGTTAAAGAGTTGATAATGATCAATATGTTCATTATAGATAAAGTAATTTATTTTCAATGCTATTTGATATTGATTACTTGATTAATAAAAGATTTGACTCATGTTAACCATTAATTTAATAGTTTTGTTTTTTATCTTTCAAAAGATTCTAAATATTAGTTTTCAAAGTTAAATCTTCAAGAGAATAATATCTACCAGAAAAATGAGAAATCAATGTATTTTCTAAGATCATTTTTTAAAAAACTCTAACTATGACAAAAGACAAAGAATCATGTCCGTTTTTAGCTATATGTGGTTTTTCAATTCTATGATCTATTTTGCTTGATAATTCAACCAAAGAGTATGTACTCTTTAAGATGATTATTTTAAAAACAAATTCTCTCTTAGTATTATGAAACTAAAAATTGTTTGACTATTGAAATGACTACATGAATTAGGATTTGAATTAAATGGTTGGTATCATCGAAATATATCTTGTTCTATACTAATGGTTAGTACGGTTCAATTATAAAATAATGAATAAATGTCTAAGT